CTGGTTGGAGTCTCCTATCCATACCAGTTCCCTAGTCTTTCCTCCTATGCTGGTCCCCATCTTCCCCATGGCTCCACCTGGCTCCGTTCTGAGCCTGTGGCTATGCTTGGGTCCTCCAGTCCTGCGGCTACACCTGGCTCATCCACCTTTCTTCAGATCCTACTCCCTGTCTTCCCAACCCCCGACTCTGCCTTGGTCCTCGGATCCCCTAGTCTCAACCTCAGTTTCGAAGTCATCATCTGATTGGTTGAATTCTACAGGATTTCGTGGAAACGTGTGTGACACGTTCTTTAATGTTCGGTCTGGAAACAAAGATGCCGTGATGGCAAACCCCCTCATAGAAGAAAGCTGTCATATTTACAACTGTGACAATGAGCGCTTATCAAGGATCAACTAAACACTGGATTTTTGTGAAATGTGAAATATGAAAAACATGAAAATATGAAAAAAATATTATTTTTGTATGTGAAATATGTAAAGTTTGCTGCATAGACATTTTAAATACATTCAAGAGATTTACACGCTGGTCTGTTATTGTGGGGACATTTCCACGTCCCTAGACATGACAAATTTTGACTTTTTGCTTTACCTGTCAGTCATATGGCCTCTTGGGCACTTGGGCAGTCCTTGGGCATTCAAATTGGGCATGGTTCCCAGACCTTCTGCTGTCAGTCTGAAAGTCTGGCTACGTGAGACTACAGATACCCTGGTTCCATCTCTGCCCTCTGGCCCTGTGGTGTCATCCTGTCCCTCCATCTGTCTGGCTTCACCTGGTTCTCCACCCTCCCTGACCCTTCTTTGGTCACATTTCCCCCGGCTCCACCATGGGCACCCATTCCTTCTGCATCACCAGGGAGAGTCGTGCCTCCCATTCAGCCGGCTCTGGTCCAGTTAACTAAATTGTTATATTCTGTGTATTTAAACCCTCTGTTTGTTTCAGTTCTTTGTGTGTTTTCATTGTTATTCTCATGCCTGATATTTGATTTACCTTTAGTAAATAAAGTTTGCTGCAATTAGCTTACTGCAAACAGCTGTGACAATGACTCTCTTACAAATATATAATCCACCTAAATCAAATCCTAAATTAATCTATGAAACAAAGTTTCTATTAAACTTTTGCAAATCTATGAAACACATTTAAAGTGTAAATTCACACAAAAATTTAAATTCTGTCATTTACTTTTCCTGACAGAACACAAAAAAAACATCCTGCTAAACAAAGTTTAAACTACAATGATTTCAATTTTAATTCTGTCATAATTTACTCGCCCTCATGTCGATGCAATCAATAAATTGGTTAATCTTTGGTTTTTAAAAAAAATACAAATGTAGGTTTTAATGAAACCTGAAAGGTGTCTGTACCTCCATTGAAGGTCCAAGCACATAAAACTTCCAAAATTGTCATAAAGTTATTGTAAAATAAATCCATATCAACCAAATTGTAATGTGCTCTATGTGTGTGTTGATCATTGATTAGATGTAAATGCAAGCATATCTCTTCACAGGGCTTGAAGTAACTGCTCATTCATTCATTCATTCATATGGATTTGTTTTACAACATATGTATGACCTTTTTGGAATTGTTGACATAATTTTCATTTTGGGGTGAACTATCCTTTAATTATGCCCTTGACGTTCAAGGAGAGACAGATAATTTTGATTAGCATAATATTATTTAATTGTCAATTCTGGAACTTGACAGCCTGATGCCACAGAAATAGAAGTTAAGCAAAAATGTAGTGTCATGGTTGAGACTGATTCCGATTTACATGTAAGTGTTACTGTTTATTGATTGTTACTTTATTGCATCATGTTTGGTTAGGACACAGTATATGAGTCTGTAGGAATCTTAATGGCCAAATAAAAAAAGCATATTCATAATGTTCTTAATATTATTATGAATCACTGTGAATTTTCAATATATTGATCAGCATATTTATTAATGTGCTTGTGACGCTTTTATATGACAGGTCAAGTGAAGACAGAGAGGAGGGAATGGGATAAGGCCTAAACCTCCAACCCAACAAACAACAGCTGCACTACTCACTACACGACAGGTCCAATTTCATTCTGGTTTATATACGTAGCCAGTGTAACATTTAAAATGTAAATAATGTAGCATATAAACTAAAAACACTACTAAACACAACCCAAATGTCCCACAAAACATGTTTTTGGCCACCAAATCCATCAGGAAAAAAACCTAATCTTCAACCAGGCACTGCTGGAAGCCTTGCTGACCCATGTTCTGCTTGCTCCAACATCCCTCCCACATCTGCTTCCAATAAGTGAGACACTCCTCTCTACAGCTAATCAAATTCAGACCACAGAGCATTAAAACATGTTCCCTCATTCCCGTTACACCAGCCATTCATTACACCCTCTTTCTCTTTTCAGTAACCCAGTAACTAACCATCTCAAGGCCCTTTTGTCATATATCTGTAGAGCCATCCTATGCTTTCTGATTCTCATATAATTCATTTTTAAGGGGTTAGTTCCCCCAAAAGTGACAATTCCAGCATCATTTACTCAACCTCATCATTTTACAAACACGTTTTTGATCTTTCTTCTTACAACATCTAGTCAGTGAGTTGAACTAGAGAACAAATATTTCAGTTTTGGGAATCAACCACATGATTTACAATATCTGACTCAGAAGTATAATTTGCTTTTCTCTCATGAATTCTCATAAATACTCGAAGGAGAACTAGAGCAGATTTTACATACACAATATTTCTGATATTACTTACACAAAGAGAGGGTTTAAAAGACTGGAATAAATGGATATAGTGCACATGGTAGACCCCATTTTTGTGCCGTTAAGTTATTTTTTTTTGGCAATTGTTAACAGCCCAAGTCACCACAGGGGTTTTATTATTTTTATGATTTAAGAGTATACAGTTTACAAGGCATCTAACCGTTTAGGCTTGTCCATTATGGCCGTGTTTCCAAAAGGTGGAGCTTCACAAAACTGCACATTTTAAATGCCTCCCTTATCTAAACAATCTGATTTTCTCATTAAGTCATCAGCTTGTTAGTAGAGTGCTCATGAACTGAATAGAGTGTGTCAAATAAGGTTCAAACATATGGGACAGTCCTATTCATTTTAATGTATAGTGCTGATATGGCAGCTTGTTGAAGGCCAAAATTTAATTAGGGTTTATCTGATTTGATTTGCTTTACTTGGCAGGTTTTTTGGCAACAGCTGGACTGTCACATACAGGTGTAGTCAGAAACATGGAAGTTTTTGCATTTATTATTTATTTATTTTATTTTTTCCCCATTTGTGCACCCTTTGTATAAGCAGTCTTAAATAATATTTTATAAAATGCTACCTAAACTATCACAAAAAATATTACATACAAAGACAAAACATGTAACAGACTTGGAAGATTATGAGAAGTGCATTTCTTTTTATCAGTGTAGTGAACACCTTAAAAGGGTAAACGCTAGCAAGAGGAACTGAGCTTGCTATTTATATGGGCAAATGTGGTGTTTTTGGACTTAGGATCAAAAGGCATCAGATTTAGGCACCCATCAGAGAAGCATAAAGCTTTTCAACAAAAACATGACCAATGCTTATCCCTCTCAATTACATTTAGACCTTTAAAAGATGGCTCAGCAGATGCCAACATAAACAACTCTTTTTCTGTAATGTAATCTTATTTGGTCAAGACCTTTTTTGTTGAAGAGCATTTTCAAGATTAAGCAATTCAGAGGGTATAAAAGAATAATAGTTTAAAAGGTTAACTGTTTAACTACTAAAACCAGCTGAAGATTTCCATTTTCAGTGTTTATTCAAGATAGTATTGTCAACAAAGGGTAGTTGCTTTTTAAACAGTTTATTTTCCTGGTTTTGGTGCCGTTTTACTAATAAGTGTAATTTTGAAAAGGATAGTGGTGGACCAAAGGACAACATTTGCCAGGTTAGGGTTTATCTTTGTGCTTCTTCCTAAAATTAAATCAACCTAAAGAGCTCAAACTGTGGTTTTCATGCAGTTTTTGAAATTTGAAAAAGTCAAGCTCTGAGACCTCGAAATATGGTAAACATCTGGTACAACGTAGCAGCTATGGGTAGATTTATCTACTGGTGTTATAGCTGTAGGACCTCCACAAAGTTTTTTGATATGTGTGATGTTAATCTCATATATATTCTGGAGTGTTCTGGATTTTCTAGAGCAACCACACAACAGTCATACACATTGCAATGATATATATTACCCCAAATCCCCATTACAGAGAGCCAAAAAGCCATTCTGTTCAGCACATTCATTGTAAATGAATGTGGGGAGGGGCTGATTCATTCATTACTTCCAAAGCAAATTGCCAAAAGAGATTCCTAGCAACCTTCCGGTTTCCTGAGGCGTGGACCAGATGTTCCACTACTATGGGAACTCTGGTGTCAGGCTTTTAAAACTATTGTGGGTGGAGAACATGCACACAAAAACACAATCTCGTCCCATCTGAGTATCCCATAAAATTTGAATACTGTTCACAGATGCTATTCTGCTGCAGTATATACAATTGCAAACATGGCCATTGTGGGTTTGTGGTACTTTTGTTTTCCAAAAATGCTACATATATCACTACATATCTGTCTATGAAGTAAGCACATTGTGCATGTATTTACAGGGTATAGTCTAAATAAAAATAAATATTTAGGCTAGATACTCAAGCCACACTTGCAAAATGTCTAAATGTATTACATTATATAGCAAATTAAATATCAAACATCAAGTGAGATTTATTTAAAAATGACAAAGAACAAACTTTCCCCAAAAGAAGGTTATTTTATAACCTTATGTATGTTGTACAGAAAGTATTGAGACACTTTCAGGTTATCAAACTTTAATGTGATTAACTAAGACACCCGCGTTGATACTTTGTTATCTAATGGAATTTCTTTGATTTTAAAGTGTTGCTTAAGTGTAGAAAAACTTTTGGGGCAATTATATCTGTTAGAGATGTAAACCTATTCATATGAATGCTGTATATCCCACCTGCCGGTCATCAGTTGGCTCCTTGAGGGACTACACAGAGGCTGCACATAGTAATTCTCCAGTTTGACTCCTGCTGCAGCGAGTCTGTCCAGTGTTGGGGTCTTTATTTCAGACCCATGATACCCCACGTCTCGAAATCCTTGGTCATCGACCATAATAAAGACGATGTGAGGCTGAGATGACGGCTTTTCCACGTTGTTCACACGATTCGAATGAAAGCTGCTCTTCCATGTTCCGTATGTTGAGTTGACAATGCTGCTAAAAGTAGTCAAAAGCGTCAAAAGAAACGTACTTCTTCCCATTCGTCCGCACATTGCACCTAAAAGCATTCGCTCGAATTAAATTGAAAGTTAAAATGAAAATCAGAACAGAGGATAACACTGTCTTACTCTTTTCACAGCGCAAAATAACACAGCTGCATGTCATGTTCCAGGAGGGATATCGGACTGGGGAAACAGACGCTTGGAAATTAGGTTCGAAATTTGTCCGACCCTGTTATTACGAACATAGCCATATTTTTGCAAACTTTGTATGGTGCTGAATGCTGTTGTGCCGAGAACATCTATTTTAGTTAAAAGGGCTGTCCAAATATACAAGGTTAGTAATAAAAACAAATCTAAAAACCTGAATCTATGTATGTTCGGATCGGTAACTCAGATCGCAGTAAGTAGTTCTGAGCATCACTCCGTCGTTGTTATACGTTGTTATCAGCGGTCGATCAGTCTGTCTTCAATGACAGACCTTAACTGTCTCATCTTTCGCTGAGGTTACTCTTCAATGCCATATACTGGTGTCCGATTCGCGAATGAATCGTTCTTTGGAGTCTAGTTTTTTTATGATTCAATTGAACCGATTCACCAAATCACCGGATTGGTAGGGATACCGTTACAATTGAAAACGCCTTGATTTATGTCAAATAATCTAAAACGTGGAGATAAATAGCAGTATACAAATATTATTCAACAAAAAGAACGCAAAATAGCATGTGTAAACGTTTGGAAACTCTTTTTAACGTCTGAGGAATTGCAAACGACTCAGTGAATCATTTTTAAGCGAACCGATTCACTAAAACGAATGGGACTTCCCAAAACGCTTTATGGACTGCCTCCCAGAGACACAAGAGATGGTGTAGTAACCCGTTGTATTTAATGCATTTTTTAGAGAAGAGGACAACGCCTAATGCCTACACACATACTATTTTAATATGTAGAATGTAGGCTACATAAGTATTGATTCCCTGCCCTACTGTCTGAATGACCATACAAACCATGCAATCATGACTATACAGACTGTTAAATTGCCTTTACTTCTTTCCAAAAAGGGTAAAGCAATAATCAGGTTTCTTTATGGTCATTATAGACTGTAGCTCTACTTATTGTTGATAAGGCCTATTTCTACTCACTTCAGCCCACAGATGTGAAAATAATAGCCTATCTCATCAAAGATTATGAGGAGTATTTTTATTTTGTATTATTATTATTATTATTATTATTATTATTATTTAATACTGATATATACAGTTAACTATTCTGGTGTGAATGGTTGCCCATTCTATGATTACATCAGCAAATTTCCTCTCTTCCTCTAGCAAGTCCTAAACTTAAACTAATCTCAACATCTACTTACATCCTCTGCTCAGTTCACTGAGACACAGTGTTGCTAAGATTAGAGATCTACTTATATTCAGTCAAAAAGTGGTATCTGTATGTTAAAAAATGAAACTACTGGCATTTTTAAAACAGCCCAACAATGATTCTATTTTCTAACTTCATTTACGGCATGATGAAATCAATATAAAGTGTTATGGCTGGTTATTATCACAAAAATGTATGAAGCTGTCAGTGGGGCAGTAAAATACAAAAGCTAAAAGGTACATGTCTGTACCTTATTCACTTTTAAATGGTACATATTAGTACCTTAAGGTACATATTAAAAGTACACATACCCTTTGAAATCGAAGCCCAGTTTGACATCTTATTTTCTGATAGTGGTAGGCTACTGATAGCCTGGGTGTCCTGTCCTTTAAAGACAACTTTATGGTAACTTGGTAACTTTATGTGCTAATAGTCTACTTGGAAAGATTTTAAATGTTTAGTTGATTTCATATTCCCCTTGATACTTAAGTTTTATGCAGGGTATTTCCTGCATTTCACGATTCCAGCCAGTCTGTGCTGTGCTCATATATTACGTTACTTGTGCAGTTCTATTGTATTACTTAAAAAAATAATATTTTCCTTTGGTCAAGTATACAGTCAGATGTTATAATCCACATGCTTTTTTATTTTTATAAAGGGACAATGAAAATAATTATCCCATTGCATTACTCATGAAAGCTAATGTATCCTCAGGAAGGAATCTATTTCACCTTGGCTTGCATTGAAAGAAAAGGAGGAATCTCAATGGGCTTATTGTACTAAACCGCATGTCCATGCAGTAAACCAAGATACTTCATGTAGCACAGTTTCATTTTCTGGATTCAGGGGTGAATTAAACATTAAACATTTGCAGCACTTCGGCACGTGTTATTTTAGGGCAAAATATAGGTCCTGTAACTAAGTCCCTTTCTATGTAAAACAGGCAATTTATTTAAAATGTATTCACTTGCTAGACACAAGTAATGCTGCTACAGGCAGTGTAAAAACAGGCAGAAGTATATTTAAAAGAGACATTTTCTGTTAAACATACCAGCAATAATTCATCAGTTGCTGGAGAAGAGCATTATAACCATATCCAGATGAGCACACTTTTGCCATTTTAAAGAGCTGTTTTGGGTTTCTGGATTTTGTGATGCTATAGTCTGAGAAAAGTCCCTAGCACTCAGAACCAAACCTGCAAGATGGGGAACTGCACCATGGAAATTATGTGCAGTGCAAAATGTTGGCCGTGTTTGTGATGTTAACCGATTTGCATAAATCAAAAACATTGCACATAGCATATGCGATTAAAAAGCTTGTCAGTGGCTGCAATTCATTCTTAGTAAATTCCCCTCTCAGTTGTTCTTGTAAAATTCCAACACCTTCATAAAGACCAGTAATTTTTTTTAGCATATCGGAGAGTGTAAACTGGATCAAGATGATTTTTTTCCCCCCTGTACCACCAGAAAAGAATTAACCTAAACGTTCAAAGATCTAGTGGAGAGGATTGATTTCTGGAAATATTCTTCATAACTAGCCAAAGAGTGAAATGATCCTAACCTTTCTAGGATAATAACACTATCTGCGGCCCCACTGCAAAGAGAGAAGGGCTTTATACACGATGTAAGAGAAAACATTTTATTCATGAGCTCATAAAGAGTGCAAGGATTTTACAAGACTGGCTGATGGCAAATAACAGTGTGTGTTTTAACAGTAAAGCTTTTATACCTAAAAACAAACTTTAGTTGCACAAAATACTGTTTGACAGTATCTGCTGGTTATCTGCCATTTAGAATTTGTACTATTTAGAGTTTTTTTGTCAAAAGATCCTTTGCTTTCTATATCTCAGGTCCCTCAAAGACGGGATTGCTTAAAGGGGTCCTATTATGCTTTTTCACTTTTTCAACTTTAGTTAGTCTGTAATGTTGCTGTTTGAGCATAACAAAGATCTGCAAAGTTACAAAGCTCAAAGTCCACTTCAAAAGGAGATATTTTATTTAACAGAAATCACTTTTCAAAAACTACAATGAATGACTCGTTTGGACTACAACGCATATTTTCCGGGATTTGTGATATCACAAATACCAACGAATGGGACGAGACCTGGTTGAGCTGCACTTGAGAAGGCAACGAGTGTTATCACTATGTCGGAGACAAGCTAGCCTTCCCAAGGCAGACGAACTTAGAGTGGTTATAATCATCCGGGTTTAAATCGCGCTCAAATTGATTTGATTTTGACCATTTACACTGAAGCTCGCAGGCAACTATGGTAAGTGGCATGACATTTCCCAACCAGGCACCGAGTGTTGCCAATCACAGCACACACTGGCCCAGCTAACCAATC